GGCGAGGACGAGCGGCGGCGGATGGCCGCCGCGTGCACGCGTTTCACCGCGGCCGCCAGCGTGGCCCTCCGAGGCGCGATCCTCAACTTCGAAACGCGCCTTTGGACGCGTTTCGCGGACGAAATGAGGGGGTTCGCGGCCCAGCTCGGGGAAATGCGCGAAAAGGCCGTCGCGAAGGCCCGCGAGGAGCTGACCTCGCGGCTTTTGCTTCACTTCGAGGAGCTCGCCGAGGTGAGTTGGGGCGCTCTACCAACGGACGACCGAAAAGGAGCCTTCACCCTCAATAAAATAGTTGGGGGGGGCCCCGATGGGGAGGATTGTTGTATTTCTTCTGGGGAGAGCGCGGGCCTCAAAGGGGGAATTCAGGGGTTGCGCTCGTCGGTGGAGGTCAAACGCGAGGGGGGCCCTTCGCGTTTTGCAGGCGATGGGACGGCCGGCACGGCGCGGAAAGATAATCACCCGCACTTCCCGAGGATGACGTGGGAGCTTCAGGCGGAGTGCGATGCGATCGCGCGGGATCTTTTGGGGATTACCGGCGGGTGGCCGGCGCTCTGCGCGGGGGTGGTGAGCTCTGGGCTTTTGGTAAGCCCTCCATAAAAACGGCCCTACCATCGAACGCAATGGCGTTTATTCCCCTTCCTCCCTCCTCCCTTGGACACACTTTTCTGCGTATCAGGGAAGGGGGATCTATTGATATTTGAAATTCAGATTAGCTGGTGTGTTTACTTTTTTTCTCTATTTAGATTTATGAAGGGGGGCATGTGGAGATTTTTTTGCAGTCTGTTCTCCCGTTCTCTTTTTTTTGCCAATTAGACTAGAATACGCAGTGGGAAAAAAAAGAAAAGTTGAATTTCCATACGATTCCTTGTTTAGGATTCGAAAGGAATGTACATAGCGTTTCCGTGGGGATTTATCCTCCCAAACGAAAACGTGTCGTTAAACGCGTCCTAAACGTCGGAACTAATAATAGATCCTCCAAAGCAAAGTCTAGAGGCTTTTCTAGTGCTGTAATGTTCTTGCTATAATCCGAAAGTGTGTTTTCCTTTTTTTTATTTTCTGCATTTCCCTCTTTCCCTCCCCTTTGCCTACCACACATCACACGTCAACCCGAATCGACCCCTATCCTTCCCTTCACCTGAGCGGTTCTTTTCTACATGGCATGCGTGGACTAACAACCCTGTTGCCTTCCCTTTTGCCCTATAGTTCCGAACGGCATTCACCCAAGCCCAAACCAAACAGACCCCAACACCCTAATATCTCAATATTGATATCTTTAGATTTATATATTTCATCTCTCGTGATTTCTAATTAGTTATCCATCGATTACCCTCCCTCAGCGATCCCCATCTTCCCATCATCGTCGTTCCGGCTTGCGACGCGCGCGGTGGGACCCCAGCCCCTCTCCCCCCCACACCTCTATTGATCTATTTGCATACATTTATAGATATATAAAGATCTATCTATCT